AAAATCCCTTTACTCATTCTATTTCGATAATTCACTCAAAAACTCCTTTTACCAAATCTCTTATATCTTGTTCATTATTGAGTTTTAAGCTTATATAAGCTTTCCCTAAGCTTATATAACATCCAAATAATAAGACTCAACTTAAAAATTCAAGAATTAACCAATTGTAATTAAACTTATCTTTTCCATGGAGCTTACGGGAAGAAGAAAGTAAGAGAAAAAGGTTTCCAAAATTCTCCCCCAATTCCCACGTGTTTCACTCTTAATATAAGAAACAAAAATATCCTTAAAACTGAAAAGACAAAATTACTCCTTTAATTCATCCATCTTTGCTATTTATTCCTATACAAAATTTACCATATAAGTCCCTAAACTTTTCAATTTATTTACTTTGATCAGCAAATTCTAAAATATTTCAATTTAGTCACTAACTTGACATTGAGGATGTTACAATCGATATCCACCATCATATGCATTTGTCCATATTTCTTTGTTGATGATATTGATGTAATTGTATCCTTGCTCATTATTTCCTTGCAAATCTTGAAGCATGAACTCAAATGTTTCAGGTATAGTTCGTAACTTGAGCGTTAAATGTAGAACTTACTGTTAAGTTTTCATAAAAAATGAAAATGATTGAGAAATAAAATTGGGCATTTTGACGTACTCATGCGCACAAGTAATTAGCGCTCATCATTATTCTTGAACTTTCCATGATAGTTGGCAGTAATGTGTCAGATACAGTATCAATGTTAGACATAGGTGGTTGCCACATTGGACCTAAAGAATCCATTGTTGCTTTGATCCCAGCTTTGCGATCTGAACTGACAAAGATTTTTTCCCTTGTGACAACATGTAAGCGTAAGTTTATGAGGAAAAAACCCAAGAATATGTATATTCTCTTTCAACAAGGGAAAAAATAACTAGAAGAATGTTGTGATAACCAACTTGGACAACTGTCGATAGTAAAACTTGCTTGTATTTTCCATACAAGAATGTCCCATCAATTTGGATCACGGGCTTACAGTATTTCACAACATTAATGCATCGTGGGTAAGTCTAAAAAAGTCAGTGGAAATGGCAACGATTGTGAAGCACTCGATCATTGTAGTATGCATGGCAAGTTTCGAAGTCGACAATTATCCTAGGATTCAATCTGCACACTACCCTAAACCAACTTGGTAGTTCGTTGTAAGATACATCCCACTCGTCGTGAAGTTTTTTAATGGCATTCTGCTTTGTCTTTCATGTTTTTCTGTATGAGACGGTGTACACATATTGCGACTGTATAGCTAAAATCAACACCGAAATAGCTATATGAGAGTTTGCTTTGACCATGGGCATGATGGCTTTGCAGATAATATCGGAGTCCAAGTTAGGATGATCCTGGTTGATCCCGGTTGATCCCTCAAGCACAACATGTATGAGGACTGTTGTATATTGTTAGTTCACATATATTATTTTTCCTCTTCCTCTTCGATACACGAACCATCCAGTTGCATCCGTTATCATATTGGACATAGTGACAAACATACTTTTCGGTAGTGGAATGGTTGACTCTGAACTGAACTGAATTACGAATGTTATAATTCTTAATTGACATCATCGTTTATTCTTTGAATGAAAACTACATTCATTTATATAACTCGCCATTATTGACTGATGAGTTAAATCCGTAGTCATCAATATCATGCATATCCGTAAATTCTGGTATGTACATTGCACCATAGTCAGCTTCATACATGTGTGCTGGAGGTTCGATGTTTATTGTATTTCTGGGAACTTCATCTACATCATCATCGAAGTCCATGTTGAATTTCGGTGATTCTAGTTGAACGAATTGTCCAGTCTCAACACCATCCGCACTTGGCTCAAGAAGAGGTTCTTCTGGTGGAGATGAGGGTTCCTCCACGATGTCGACATTTAGGTCGAACAAGCTGGTAGTTGAATGTATTCCCCTTGAACTTGAAAGCATCTCAATATTGAGGTCGATAAGCTCACAGTTGAATGTCTCTCCTGAAACTTGAAGGCATCGTGTCGAATGGGTACAACGCAAATTGTTGCGTCGAGGTCATCTCCATATTCAGGTCAAAGAAATTGGCAAATAAGTGCATTCCCCTTAAATTGTAAGCGATGTTGGCATACAGATTATTTGTGGAGCCACCTTGGTACAGATCGTAACAAATCGTTGATGAATGTCTCCTAATTGAACTTGATGGGATGCCACCATGATGTGGATTTCCCATTAACGAGTTAAATTCATTAATCATTATTTGAGTTGGGTTGTCAACTTGATCAGCTTGTTGAGCCAACCCATAGTTGGAGCATAATGACATACTACAAACCACATACACTTCAACAAATGTTGCATACATCTGTGTATCGATGTCTGAATATTGATTCTGAGAATCAACCATCATAGCAACACCGTCATTGTTAGAGAGTTCGAACGCTGTATAAGTTAACGAAAATACTGCGATTGAAAATCTGTATTGAAATGATGATAGTCTTCTAGTACTTCCAACATAAATTTTCCTTAAAATTTTAGTGATCAACTCCTCAAGAGTGATGTTTATCTTGAAGAATATTCTGACAAAATGATTTGATGCGAAGAAAACGTCGGTTTCATCTTCCCAAATTTCTCTATCATAGTAAACAATAGTTGAAATACGCGTTATTTTGAGAGTTTGAAAGATTAAGAGTCTTATATATGCAAAAACAATATCTTAAATACGCCTAATTAAATAAATAGTATATGAATTAAAATATAAACTAATCCAAAAATTAAAAAAAAATCACAATGATTTAAGTAACACAATTTCATATTATTAATGTATCGGCAAAAGATCTCGAGGTATGATCATGCCTTCCAATTTTACAACCATAAAAAATACAAAATAATTAGTACAATAAAATTTGTTTAAATAATTAAATATAAAATAAATATAATATAATAAAAATAATTTTACCTTATAAAAATAATGACAAAATCTACTTAGTTTGATAAAAAAAATTGATAGAAGTAAAAACAAACAAATAATTTTGGTGTGATGATGTTTACATTCAGATGAGTTATTTATAAGGGAGGGTGATTGTTAAAAACAAGAGTTTTCAGGCTCGGATAATAATGGAGTACCCATAATTCAACGTGTATAATAAAAGATGTGGATCATGATTTATGCTTTTCGTATGTGTCAGACGTTTAACGACGACGCAAATTGATATCCGTGATTTTTTTACGTGACGTTAGTTCGGATAAAATTCTGCGAAAACGCGGTTGATGGTCTACGCTTTATTGTCACCGTGTTAAAAAAAGTGTTAAATCAATAATATTAAAAGAGATACGTATAATTATTGGATTTAATGATGATATTTCGATAAAAACCCTAAACCCAAAGCAGGGATTTTAGCTTCCCAATAACCCCACCTACTGTTGTTTTTGCCAGCATCATTTCCTCATTCTCTACTTGCTGTGCGTTTGTTCCACTCTCCCTTTCTTTTACTGTAAAAAAAATACTTAAATCTTACTTGCTATATAAGGCTTTAATTTCGTAGTGAATAGTACCATGCATTTCTTTTGTTCATATTTGGCACGCTCTGTACATACGAGTGAGTAACGAAGAAGCCCACTGCCCAAGACAAAACCCTCCTTCCTCCCAAAGGCCAAAAACCCTTCGTCTTTCTCCTAGCTCTCTATGTGCTTCTGAGCTGAGAGGAAGTACATGTACACTGCTACTGGCTTGTTTTAGTAAGTAGGAGCTTGCGTTGGATTCCCTTTTTTTTTCCTTCTATTATTATATTCTCCCACTCTCTCTGCTCTTAATAGCTCCCTGGGAAAGAGTGTCTGCGCGGCTTAATCATGTGACGCTGATGAGATGTCATCTAATAATTTAATTTACTCCCCCTAGCAGTACGTCTTCTTCGCCTTTGCTTTCTGAAATGGAGAAAATATTAAGGAACATGGAGCTTTAATGAGGAAGGTTCATTTTTTACTCATTTAAAACAAGAGGTTTTGCTTGGACTGAAAGCAACCATGGCCCCCTCCAAGAGCAGAAGAGCAGGCTTATATTTATTGGGTTTTTTTTCTTCATTAAGTTCACCAGCAGGGTGGGGGAACATGATCATGTTTTTCATTAACTAATGTTTATCAATGTGATTTCTGGATCCTTCTTCTGACATTGTGGCAGAGTCAGAGATGATGATAAAAGGGGAGTGACAAACAATCAGAACTTGTAAATTTATGACGCTATCTGAGGTGCCTCGGTTCGGTGGGATTGTGTTATGTTCAACTATAAAGTTGGAAGCGTAGCATCATTTCATGGTGGGGATCAATATATGTGTTTTTATTGACTTGTCTCTTTAGTCTCGTAAGAGACCAGGTTTATGTCTAAAATTATGCGTGTAAGCCTTCAAATCAATGATATTCATGGTGGTCATGCATTTTGAGAATTAATGAGAATGAAAGAAAAGACATCTCATGTTTTCGTTTCAATGGTATCTTAGTAACTTCAAATTTGCATAGAAAACAAAGGAATGGGGACCTGCCTTGGTTGCTTGATCATCATCATCATCAGACCAATTGTTGCATCTGAAACTTGTATTCTTCTCATAAAATCACCTGCAACAAATATATTTCCACAAGCATTTGGGGATAAATTGAGTGTCCACTTTCTCTACTCATGGACCATCCCATTCATTTTTTGCAAGCCTATGCAAAAGGGTAAGTTTCTATTTCACTTTCACCCCAGATATCTGTGCTCAACCTTTTTGCATTGAAACCTTCCACTGGTAAACCAGCAGCGAGCCTTTAATAAACTCACCACAAGGAGCCATAATCTGGAACATGATAATAACACAAGGCTTTGCTCCCTTGGCAAGTGGGAAAAAAAACTTTTTTTTGCATTTTTATTAGGACCATTTCAACAGATGTTCCTCTACAACATCCCAATGAACTCGGAAAAGATACTGATTACCTGCTGGAACTTGCAACAAAGATCAACGGAAAAAAAAGATTGGCACGTACCGTTAAAACAAAGTTATTTATATTTGGAATGGTAATTTAGAGTACGAATTACAGTTAATATACGCGAGTTGTCAAATATGGAATGTGTCTTGCATGCGGCTGTCAAGCTGGTTGTGAGTCAATACTTCTCTGGCTCGAGAACTTCTGTGTTGAAGGCGCTGGTGCAGTGTCTCTGACATTTGGTTAAAGAACTGAGGATCCCATCTTCGAATCAAGGAAGGGTCTTCTGCATAACAGATGTAAATAGATGTAACAGCGCTTTCGACAACAACCATTGCAAGTCCCACCTGCACCAAGTATTTTCCATACCTTAACATTCAAAATACAAAGGAAGTGGCAATACAACCGATCCTAAAGATCTATTATTAGCAATACTTAAAGAAAGAAAATAAGGTGTCAATATGTCTATAAGGTCATTTTTGCCAATAGGGATCAAGGATTTCCATATGGTAATTACGAATAGGGATAAAAGAACTGAAGAATAGAAAACGCACTAACCAAAACCATCCCCATCAACATTGCAGTGGACCCCACCATGATCACTCTGTCCTTCCATGTAATCCAAGTCCAAACACCGGCACAAGTTCCGGTGATAAGTCCACCCAAGATAGTACCCATAAGAAGAACGGCACCGGAACAATCGTATGCAACTAGTGCTTCAACTCCTGTTGACTGGAATAACTCCCAGGCATCTCTTGCTGATCGGTTAAAACCTTTTCCATAAATAGCTATCTGATATGCACAGAGCATGCAAAACCATACTATAGTAGTGTAATATTCCATATGAATTTGTAACAGCAAGAGCTTTAAATAATACTACTATTTGTCAAACGAGAAATCAACAGTTCAATTTTTTAAGAAAATAAATTTTGTTGCTAAGCATATCATCCACCATCCAACTACACAAAGCAAAAAATTCTCCTGCCTGGAAAATTCATGAGATAAACGGACAAAACTAAAATAGGAAGAATCTCAAACAATAAATTGACCTAAAACCCTTGGATACCCCTTCACAACAATATCTGATGTGCCCTTAAAATTAACAGTGCCATCAACAAGTCAATATCTGTGCTACATTGAAAAGGATAACATCATGGATGTAATGTTGCTACATGTGCTCAAAAGAATAGGTTATCATATACAAGATAAACTATCAAGAGAAGGGTATACAAGAACTACCTGGACATATGCATATTTGTTGAAAAATCGAACAAGGGTCTCCACAAGTTGAAACAAAAAATCAACACAGCAAAGCAAGCACTCATTGTTGCCAATTTTTGACCGGAATCCCCTGATCTAAAATGCATTTTCAAATTAAGTACTGAGAGAAAAAAGCATTCATTTGAATCTTGAGATAAAAATAGCGAACCAGTTGAGAAAAAGGAAAAGAAGTAAATGCTGGTTTGCTTACTGCTTACCTCCCATCGCAGAGTCCGAATAGCAGCCGTGAAAAGTGACCCATAGCAAATGCTTCCAAAAGATGTTGTTATAGCATACCGAAGAGATTTCATCAATGAGTTGGGAGGCATAGATGAAGCATTTCGACCACCATGAATAAGAACAAGAAACACAAGCCCGGACACTATAACATGTACAGTATTGCAGAGAACAGCACCAGTCCAAAATAAGCTTACAGAGAGTACCTGCGAGTATCAAGGCACATTACTAGTTTTATCAAGACTTGATTGGCCATTTTTCTAATAGCAGTCTCCTGCAACTCTCATTGCAGTAACAACAGATGGAATTAAGGGCAAAACTTGCCAGCTCACCACAAGAAGCCACCAGCGTCCAAGGTCACCCCTGCTTGAAGCCACAACACCAGATATTCCAAAAGACCATATTCCCATCCATAAAAGCATGACAGCCATAAATGCATATGCTACTCGCATAACTTCAGGAAGACTCCATACCAATTTGACAGCTTTTTGCAAGACCAGCATGGTGAATGGAAGTCTGTAGAAGGTAAAGAAAAACAATCTAGTCAAAGCAGACTTCATAAGATATGATTACTCCAAACTCAGAATTATCTAATCCGGAGTCCTGACCACATTGAAACTAACAAAGATCTACAAACCTAGGCTTGATATAAGCATGCTAATGATTTTCCACTATGACTTCAAGGAAGATAGCAAATTCATGGCTAGTTTGTTGAATGGAATGGAAACTTGAGAAAACAATTTATAACCATATATTGGCAAATACAACTCTTGGTTGAGTGGACATTTGAAATTAACCTACTAAGACTGTTTGAAAAATGATGAGCCTACATGACCAATAATTTCAACTTCTATGTGATAAACTGATCCTCCTTGTTGTTATCTAGTATGTAAGGACTCAATTCAGTGACCCTTCTCTTTATTCTGCTACAGGTTTCTCAACTGTAGAATATTAATCAAGGCTGTATAATATCAGAATTATTTCCTTCTTGTCAATATATGCCATCAAAAACAAAACTTCAACATTTCAATTTATAAAAGGTTATTTCAACTCTAAATAGAACCATAAAGTTGCTTTTTCACTCCCGGGTTAGTTACAACCAGAAATTAAACAATTTATTCAATTTACTAAAAAGATGGAGTAAATTCTATAAAACCAAGGAAATATTTCAGTCAACAAGTGAATCAGGAACAGTTATTAACGGATAAGTTGTAACCTGTTTCTTTAATCTCCTTAAAACATCCAACAAGCAATAAACTCAAGATAACACATTTCATGATCACCAAAAAATATGTCCCTAGCTCATACCTGTCTATAACTGCTATAACATACAAGAACTGCACCGCAGCACCAGTTGCAAATGCCACACCCCAGAAAATTGTTCGCACCAGAAACATAAAACACTAATCACAGCAAGATATGTAGTCAAAATGTGAACCGAAACCTTCATCATTTGTTTCGCACGAGAACCAAGCAACAACAACCAAAGACATCCAAGGACAGTCCCAATCCCACCGGCAACAGCATACTTGGGCCAATAAGTCTCTGTCAATCCATTACTATTCTCCCAAACCCGATTAGTATATCTATCAATATTTAACCTATCTGCTGTCCTGAACCTATTGAGTCCAAGAACAGCGAGCAAGAACCCTAACAGAATCAAATGAATTATAAATACAGCTAACCAGAAAACATCACGCCAATGACGCAAGTCGGGAGAAAACGTTTGGTCAGCATTTATAATTCTCTCATTCCTCCCTACATTCTGAGACAAAAACAAAAAATGCAATAAATTTAGACTGAACAAAGTTATCAGAGTGGTTCAGTCATTGACTTTAAAGATTAACCACCACCACCACCACCACCCCAAAAAAAGTGACTGGTTATTAAATATCAGGCTTATGATGAACAATTGAAAATAATGTCATAAAAGGTGAGACTTGAAAGCCGGAAGTAGAAAAATTACTACATAAAATCAATAGTCTAAACTAAATATCAAAAAAATTGAAAGACTAATCGTATGAAGAAGGAGAAATCAACGTAATCAAACAATTACAGATCCTGATTTTACTCTCTCCTTTTTAAATGAAACTTGGGAATTCAGATTCTTAGTTTGTTGAATAAAAAATCAACAAGATATATAACTACATCATGAGATAAAAGGTAGTGTCTTGACTACTGGGACAGAGAAAATAACTAGAAATGGGAGGAGAACGGTCGAGGATTACCTGATCGACGGTGGCGATGGAGGCAGAATCAGATGAAGAAGAAGAGATGATAGAGTCGCTCATGGAGAATGGAGAGGAGACAAATCCCTTTGCTCAAATGGAACTAAAGCATTACTTTTGGCAGTCAATTCTAAAAGTTTGAAGCAAAGTTTTTTTTTAAGTACTATATGATCGACTTTTAACTCAAAAGGGCTTTGTCAAAGTTTGTGGGAGAAAACGTGAAGAAGAAGGTTTGAAAATAACAGTGAGAAGACGAAGGAATGCCAATGGAGTTGATTAGGGTTCTTCTGTGAAGAAATCCGGAAAGGATTTGGGGGGAAATGGAGGCGGATTACTATTCTTGCTACTAAATACAACTAATTGATTAAATTATTAAAAACTCCCAACTGAAAGTCATTAATGAGCGAAAGTGAATAGTTGTTGATGTCGGGTTCGCCGGTGTGTTATTTGCGCTGCCTTTGGCGGTTGGTGGGTGGCCGTTGCGGTTACTCTTTCCTCGGTTAAGTCGGCATTAAAGGTTATCCTTTCTATCCCAATTTTTATGTCACTCGTTAATTAAGTATATAGTGTTAAGAAATTAAAATTTCATAAGTAAAAAAAATATAAATTATGATATTTGTCGAGCAAATATATTTAATCAGTTGATTAAGTTATTGGTATTTATTCTCCTATACCTCTTCATTCTCTTTCTTTTAGGTAGAATTATATTTAGAATATGTGAAAAAGTAATATTTATTATTTTTAAATTATATAATTTTGTTGATGAAAATAAGTCTAATCCATTGATTGTGAACAATTCACCCTCTCGTAATTTTGACGAAGAGTCATGATCGATGAAATGACGATCGTGGATCATTGTTTGGAAAATGTCATGATTAAGTCATTAGGACGAAGATGGTGATTGAGGATGACGGTTATTCGATGTGTTTATAGAGAAAAATAATGAATGATCATGAAAGAAAAGAATTAAAATCGATCGATTACAAGTGATTCATCTTCTTTTTTTAATCTAGATCGAAAATATTTAAAATAATTTTTAGTGTATCTATCAACGGTAGGACAATCATGAATGTTTATAAGTCGGCAATAGTCCAAAGGACAACATAAATTTAATAATCAGACTTTCAATTTTGTGATCTGTAAAGGGTATTGTCTATATATACTTTAAGACATTACGGTTAATTTGAGATATTTGCAACGGTCATACCCATATCAATAATCTATCAACTCTCTACGTTTTGCCACTCTTCTCCTCACGCTTTCAATTAATTTACTACACATGCCACCACCGACGACATTCATAACGTCCAGCCCACGTACACCGCTCGTGCGGTAAAAAAATTAACTTTTTTTTTCACCAACGTGAAAACTATAAATTACAAATAGTAAAAAAATGATTCCAATAAATGAAACTAATTTCTTCTAACATTTGTTGGGCACGAATCCTACGCGGGAGTTTGCGAGATCGAAACCGACACGTGTCCCCTGCTGCTGCACGTTTCCAATGATTGACAACGTCGAGGACGTTGGCGCAAACGCGAAACAGAAGGTTCCAATGGAATCAACCGGTATCATGTAATTCTTAGCCGGTAACGGTAGAACTTTACCTTCGGGGAAGTGAAACGACATCGTTGGAACATCTACGCTACTCTTGGAAGACAAATTGTAACACGTGTCGAATAATGCCACGCTGTCAGCTGACGGTAAGTTCTTTGTCCCTTTAGCGAATGCGTCACGGAGAATATTGTATGTGTCCGTCCTTAACCGAGTCACGGCGGTCCCTGAGTCTATGATAATCCCGCCGTTACCTGACTCGTCTATTTGGAAAGCTGACTCGGGAATCGGAAGCAACTCGCCGCCCACACTGATACCGGTTAAACCGAGATAGTAAAACGTGTCTAGCTGGTGGTTACGGAGTAATGGAGCTGTAATGGCGTTAGGAGGGAGAGACGAGTCGAACTCAAGAGTGGAAATTGAGTCAGAGTCACGATCCACGAGACAATAGGAGAAAGTACTAGCGTTGAGCTGGGACGAAAAGGAAAGCGGTCCACCGCCGAGGCCGAGCAAGCCACCCGCCCCTACAAACAAGCCTTCGTTCTTATGGCCACAACCGATGGCCACATTATTGACAGAATCCGACCCGAGGGTGATGGTTTCAGTGACGAAGTCACCCACGGTGTAAGAACCGTCGCCGTAGGAAACCTCGTAGACACAGGTGCGGTCGTTCCGACATTCGGAATCGTCAAGGTACTTGCATTGTCGCGCTTCGCAATTTAGCGGCGAGTAGGAAGACGATAAAGATGGCTCGAATATCGGGTCGGATTGTTGGTAGCAGTCGGCACAGGGTGCGCATTGTACCCAGTTGATGTCACTTCCCGTGTCGAGTACCATGTAAACTTGACTCTGTGGTTTCCCGATTCCAACTCGGGAGAAGTACTCGCCGCTTCCTTGACTCGAACCGGACACAATAGGACTTTCTAGGTCCTCCGCTCCAAACTCCGACCCTTTATCAAGCGGTCTGAGATTTGACTTTGAAATTCCGTTGACAGCCAGATCCAACCGAGTGGCTAGCGAGGTGACTCGAGCCGAGTCACGCTCGAGTAGGGATAAAGTCAATGATTTGTAATCAAGGTGGGAGCTTTTAAGAACAGAAGCCCTGGGATGAATCTGAATGGAAAGAAAAGAAGTAGGCGAAGGTAAAGCAGAGAGGCTTTGACCTACAGGGGTAAACGAGAGCACATTTCTGGTCTTCTCAAGAGCTTCAGCAACGTCGAGAACCATCGTCGGCGGGTGAAATTGCAGCAAACTCCTAGAGCAGCCGACAAATGGAGCTGCAAAGAAGAAACAACCAGCGAAGACAATGCAAAAAAGAAGACCCATTTTCGCCGAGCAAGAGAGGAAGTTGGAGGTCAGCTATGGGTGTTAATGGTGGGCTTTTATGGAGAATAGAAAAATGGATAAAAGGTTCGAGTGGGAGCTAAAGAGAAAGGGTGTGAATTACTATTTATCCAACCAATGCAAATGCTTTAGATTTCTTTTCAGAGATGGTAATTTTGTTGAGGGGGTCATTATCTTTGCATGTTGATTTTGAGGCTTTTTCTCCAAATGGGGGAATCCAAGAATCCGTCGCTTTTGCAATTGCTTGTCCATGGCTCATCTGTTGGACCACTATCTTCTACATACATTAACAAGTTCGATTAATTGTTTTTTTAGTGTTGGGATCTTGTGTTGAACTTGTATTTTTCTCAATATTATTTAAAGTAAAACATATGCATTCATCATTTGTTTTAAGTTATGGAGAGTGATGATTTTCTCGTGCATTCCATGATAATCATAATGGTACGTAGCATCATTTGGTCCAAGTCGCTTTCTCTTTTCTGCTATATGAAACTTTTGTTAAAAGAGAACCAATGGATCATCCCTCTCGTTCGTTTGCTCCCTTTCGAACCGGTAATTAGTGGTGGGGACGAAAGGTCAAGTGAATGGACAAATATTTTTTTATTAAAAATCAATTAATACATTTAGGGATTAAATTCAATGTTGTTTTTTTATTAATCACTAGGGATTGCAAATGGTAGTATATATTTTAAAGATTTTTAATCGATGAAAATTCAAATATTTTACAATTTCTTATGTCAAATATTTTAACAATGAAGGTCGACTCAAAAAAGTCAAGGAAGGGACGTAGGGTACAAAAACCTTTGATGTACTAATAACTCAGTGTGTTGATAATGATGGTGTAGTTCTATTTGATTCTGGAATTCATGGCATGCTTCTTATTTGAAGACCTTCAACTATGTGTTCAACAGGATGGTGATGAACTGAAAGAAGAGGCGGCCATTTCTCACACAGTTCTTCTCTCCCATGTTTCTGAAGGTTAAAACTTCACATGACCTATTGTGGATTGTAGTGAAACAATTTGACTTTGCCTATTTTGCATGCAGGCATTTTTCCATCACATTTTTCGGTGAAAGGGGCGACAGGAGCCAGGTGAACTTCTGCAAATGATCTGTATATTTATGTCTCTTCTGTAACATGCCATTATTGCATCTTCATTGTGTTAATGTCTTTCAGCTTGCTAACATTGGCCTGGCTGCTGATGAGGACCTATTGGGTGTTGTTCTAGGTGGCATTCTGTAAGTTTTACCATTTTATATCCCTGTGTATTTACAGAAGCAATGCCATTTCATTCCTCTTTTAATCACTCTGTATGTATATTCTTCACAGTAGGTTTCTCTTGTATATGCTGATTAGTAATGTTACTCCTTTTTTTCCTAGAGGACAAGCATTGTGCACCGTTGCTGCTGTAGTCGGAGGACAGAGATTGGCGTCTCGGATATCTGAGAAAATCGTAATTCCGACCCACTGTTTCCCTTTAACCCTCCCGCCGCGTTGTGGTCTGCATGTTAACATCTCGAGCAACTATTGAAACCAAGTTTTTATCACTTCGATGCAGGTTGCACTCGCCGGAGGAGTCTTTTCATTATTTTTGGAATCCAATCCTTCCTCTCCCCAGTAGTCTTGATGAAGCTACTAATGTGGTTAGTGCAGATTTGGTCTGTTCCGAAACGGAGGAATGCTTGATTCTTCCCAGCATGTCTCTGATGTTCAACTCTTCTCCGATTAGCTTCCTTGTTCTGTTTCGACTTTAATTTCAGGTTCATTTTAAGATTTTTCTTATTATTTCTGGATTTTTTTTAAAAAAAAGGTTGTTCAACTCATTCAAAATCAATGAGAGTAAGCAAAGAGTCCGGGATAAAGAAAATAGTAAATGGGGCCGATTATTGTCTTTCATTTTGACTATAGGGGATGTATTGTTTAGGGATCATACAATAAGAGCACTACTGAGATGTACACCATCTAAAAGCTCTCTCAAAAGGGTATATTTAACAGTGATATGGAACCCAATGGTTGGCTCGGTTGTCCCTGACCCTTTAGCAACCACCACTCGCCGGTTCAATTGAACTTAAAAGCCCGTTCCCTCGTAGCTGCATGCAGTGTTCCTCGGCATCGGCCTGAGCACATATAATCACCACTGCCATGCCATTGTAGTGTGCTTCTTGCATGATGTTAACAGCATTGTCAAGTGTCATTCCAGGGATGACTTTCATCAGTACTTGCACTACGTATTCCCGTTTGTTGAAATTGTCGTTGTGCAGTATGACCCGATAAGGTGGAGCAATTTTTTTCGATTTCCTAAGTAATCCAAACCCACAAAGATGTTAAAAGAGAAGGAAAAAATCTACCAGAAGACAAATATCGGGGTAACATACACAGACATTGCAAGTGCTAATCGTGCGTCAAATAGGTGTGGTACAAAAATGATCTAAGAATGGGATATGTGCCAGCAAATTTATGAGAAGGATGGTCATAACTCAAATTAGCACTCAATAATTCACATCAACAATAAGAACTTCGAATTGGGCACTCACTTAAGATCAAACTCAGATTCACGACCAGGAGTCGTTCGCTCGATAACTGGCTTCTCCAAAATTCCCGCTCCTTTACCTGATCCGGTAGTCGAAATAGCCATGAGAACGCCACGGTTGGTGCATGCCCCCCTGCAACGTGATTGTTTCTCTCCTGCTTACATAGTTTTGATTTAACCATCAACATATGCACTCTACCGATAAACCAACAAGAAATGGAAGCCAGTTTACAGAACCGAAAGAGACCATCACAGCTATAGCTTTTGCTCCGTCAGATATCTAACATAATTATTTGTTTGAGCAGCTGAGAGGTAAGAAGGTTCATCAACTCCAATCAATAAAACAATCATAAGAACACACTCCATTAGGAAAGCAAATAAGATTAATCAACCAACATAATGTTACAATCACAAATGTCCAGTTTTTCTCATCATCAACGATGAAAAGCTATATTTTTCATACCTTCAATTTAATTTGAAACAAGTACTAAATTCAAGAAGCCATTTCAGATTATCCAGAGACCTACTACTTCGGTTGAATGAACCAAGTTTCTACATCTTCTCTTCGTTTTTTTCCGGAAGAGATAACCTCTGGCTACTATTCAATGAGCTAATGCCTCACTATATTCATATAGCGAAATGGTTACCCATTTTACAACCATATGCTCAGTAACTCGAATAGAGGTGAGCTGTATTATAATGATTTCCATCCATGTCCACTCTAAAGCACCAATTTTTGCTTTTGCCTTGCCTGTAAAAGTTTAAATTCCCATCCTCCAAAAATGGTAAACACGGCAGTGCAACTCAAAGGCTGAATTAACTCGGAGCTCAAAGCTCTTCAGATAATCCTATCTGAGAAGCTTCTAATCGAAAAAGCTGAATTAACTCCCAATTCATAAGCAGCAACGAATATAAATAAAATAGATTTTAAAAAAATACTCATCTGAGGACCGATTCCACCCCTTAAAATGTTAACAGAGTATTTGTTTGTGTACAATACAAGTTGGATTGTTTGATGAACTATTCGAGAAATTAAGCCCAAAAGATACGATAATCGTCAACTAAGCGAAGTTAATACAAAACCCAGATGAGTTTGTGATGGTATTCATTAATCAATCCAGTAAAGTTACAAACTTTATTAGAAACCCAAAATCGAGAGGCGAAGAGAGATAGAGAAAGGAGAACCTGGCTTGGGATTGAAGACAGTGTTGGGTGAGAGTGTTAATCTCCCACGTATCGCAGTCTCCATGACTCCACACACAATGTCTCCCTCCTGTTCTGTCTCTGTAATGAAAAATGTTTCTCAACCACTGTTTTCTTTTTTCAATTAAAAATAAAATATTCGGGGAAATGATTTTTTTCTGTGTTTTCAGTCTTTGAATTTAATTAAAATAATTTGTGACCAGTGAATTTTTTTTTTGAGACAAAAATGTTTTGTTTTATTTTATTTTCTGGTTTCATAATATAAATGTTAAATTACGTATTTATCATCTAAATTATTAATTTTAATCTGTTTTAATATTAAATTTTTTTTTAAATATACATAACATTTAGTTTTTATTTTATTATAATATCCTATCGTTAAAAGCTTAACAAGTTTAGCACCTAAACTATTAGTTTAGATTCGTTTTAGTACCTTAAATTTCAATTTTTTTCAAAACTTAAATTTAAATTTAAACGGAAAATTTAAATAAAACAAAAATTAAATATTTTAGATGTAAAATATTAAAATAAAACAAAAAATAAATTTTAAATCTGATTTAAAAAATAAAAAATTTAAAGTAATAAAAAAATAAAAAAATAATTTAATTACTAAACACATAATTCATATAGTATGCCCTTTATTTATGATTTAGCAAATCCGACCGGCAAAGCAACATAGGCCTAGATTCCACGGGTAGCCTGCGGGTCAAGACCCGAAAACTCCGCTTCGCTTCGTTCTCTTGGGTTCGTTGTAACAATGTAAATATGTAGTCTTAGCGAGGAAGGAATCGAATCGAAGGAAACCGAGAAGAAAAAACCTTGATATCGACCCGGACCATTAATGTCTTGCAACTCTTCCATCACTGCTTGCAACTAACAACTACAACAAACAAAAGAACACCCGTTATCCACTTTTCTCCCTCTGCGTTGGAATTTTGTTTACCCTGTCTTTCTTTATCCCACTTTCTGGTATTTTTGTGTGGGTTTGAACTTTGGGTTTTGTTTTGCGTATTCGAGAAGGATGATGATGCATTGTCTTCAGCCCGGAAAGCTCCAATCCAAGAAGGTAGCGTTACTCTTAGGCTAACCCTTTTGTTTTCATGTTCTCTTGATTCTGCGCTAAGTTTATAAAAAATGGATTTTGATCGGGGATTGTCGGTGCTAGTGATCTAAAATTTGAACCTTTTAATTGGATCGAAGTGCCTTATTTGATTGCCCATTTCCATGGCTTAGTCTTTGTTTTTAGCTTTATTTTGTTACTTTGGTCATAATAAGGAAAAATGATATAGAATGAATGCCGGTTGTGGACAAGATGATGTGGTTTTTTATAAAGGATGCTCATTTATCCGAATTAAAAGGTTTTGTTATTCTTGTTGTTTGAAGGATTTACAGGGCGCCTTTACTTATTTAGTCTTCCATATGTATTTTTTTATGGGTTCATGTTGCGTTTTAGATTATAGCTTTTCAAGTTGATTACTTTTAGGGTTGTTATTGATGTGTTTGCTATACTGGCAGATTATTTTTGAGGATGTGTTTTCTGCGCGTGATTCTGCAACACTTGAACATCTGAAGGAGTTGAGCTCTAGGCGTAGAGTGATCGAGGAGTCCATTAATCAGAGCAGCTTCATTACTGAAGCTATTGCAAGAGAAATGTCTGGAGGATTGACTTCTCATTGTCTAAGGGTAATTTCTTATTGTTGCTTTATTCACATTTTGCTTCTGTAATCTGTTCATACTTTTGCTTTTGCATTTTGATATCTCTGTTTCTGGAATGCATAAATCATCAAGGTTGAGACTTGCTTTTGAATGCCTCTGGCGTGTTTTCGTTTCAACAGGTTATTCTGATTGTTTCCCCTCTTTTTTCGGTTTGAATTTCATCAGGACCTTCAGAAACTGGAGCAATACCTGCCACTGTTGGAGAACTTGGTTTTTCATGTTGATTTGGTGTGCAGCAACCACCATGTTGCTTGTTGGATTTCAGAACTTAAGATCCGTTGGAGTAGCGCTCTTAACTCATCATCTTTCTTTAACCTTAGGGGTCCAAAGTTTTTTCAAATTGATAATTTGCGTTATGAGCTTGGTATGACCCTTTATCTTTATGCCGCATTGCTTCGGGAGAGGGCTATAGAAATTCTTCCAACTGGTAGGCAGTGCATTCTCACATCATATTTTTATTAATCGCACGAGTTTTGTGTTCGTAACATTGCTATTTACTTCTCATTTTGCCAGATTTGGTGAAATCCGCCACACTTTTCAGGGAAGCAGCTGGTGTTTTTGAGCATCTTGCTATTGAGATTTTTCCTTCTTTACAATCTGCACAGTCGGTAGAAAGGCCACCGGAAGCAACTCCATCCATTTGCACTGTTATGCATCTGATTTGCTTGGCTGAAGCCCAGGTTAGTGTTAAGGCCTTCGCATTTCAATATCATAGGGTATATACCCCAGGTTTCTGGCATCTTGGCCTGAAATTTAAATGCAATTTTTTTAATATCCAACGATTTGCTTTTGATTTTATCGGCTTCTTTAGTACTTCCTTTTCCTCTGATGGTTATTGTATTATGAAACAGGCTGTAACCATAAGGAAGGCTGAAGAAAAAGGAACAACTGTTGGTCTTTTGGCAAAGCTGCACTATGGTATTATAGAGTTACTTGGTGAAGCCACTGCTATTCTGTATTCAAATACTGGGGAGTGCAAAGATATTTCGTCGAGTTTTTTGGTATTTTCACACACTTTTTTCTTTCCAAAAATCATCGACGTGTCCTATTCCATGATTAAGCAAGCTTAATCAGTTTTATCACTTTAAATTTGCCTACTTTGGTTAATTGTAAATCATTAGCATAAACTTTGACATTATATGATTAGTCTTTTTTCACTTGTTATGAACATATGGTGATTTTCTTTACACTTTTTAATCGGTGATCTCCGCTCGCCAAAAAGTCTACATCTTGTCTTCTCCGAATACCTTGCAGCATTGTCTTATTCCTAATAGTAGAGTGATTTTACTGCAAATAGACTACTTTTAGAGAAACTCCTTGTTTATTCTTGCATTAAAACATATCATCTATGAAGGAGATGACACTATATCGTTATCGATGAACTGTGCAGGAATTTATATCATCTTGCAAAGCTCTACATGAGTTAAGAAGTCTGAAATACCTTGCAGAAAGTTTAAAGATAACTGAACAACTCGGAGTTGCCATTGGAGTTCTCCGCGATGCACTAACCAACGCAAAGAAGAAAGTTCCAGGAGAAGAATCCTGGAGAGCCATCTTTGGGAAAGAAATTGATGCTGCTGCTGACATGCTACGGAAATTCGAGCACGAAAATGAATTTGTTTGGCACGAGAAGATCCCCGCCGGAGACGAGTTGCCGCGGCTACAAGGTAACAAGATTGTCAATGCGATACCGTATAATCCCAAAAGGTGGGAGAGAGAACTTAGTTTGAAGATATAAATGTGCATAACATTTTGTGTAGTAAAAACTTTCTTGGTTTTGAGAGAGGAAATGCTCACAAGCGTCTTTCCTAGCCTTGTTAATGTGCAGGGGATATATTGTTTGTGAATTTACCACCATGTTTTCAAAATAGTCCACATAAACAATGGGATTTACGGTCTGTTGAATGCCAAGGGTTAAGATTTTTACTTTTTGTAACATTTTGGTGGTAGATAATACAGGTCTACTATACACATTTTATGTTTTGAAATTTTGTATAAGGTTTTTATGTTTAATATCTTAACATTTCTTAAGTTTTTAATATTTCAAAAATTAAATAAACCCTTAAACTTTCAATTGTCTTCGAATTCAGTCAAAAAGATCAATTATGTCATCGAATTCAGTTATAGAAATTAATTCAACTTCTTTGTTACATCATCATCTAATATCGTTTACATATGAATTGTCATGTTAGTACATTAAATTATTATATCAATATAATTAAATGTCACGTCAATATTATAGATATTAAAATGAAGTTAAAAACAAAATTAATAAAATAAAATAAGGGTTAAAAACAAAAATAATATAATTAAAAAGTAATATTAAATTTACTTATTTGAGAACTCGTTACAAAATTTTAAGAAAAAAAAAATCAAAAGATTAAAGCTCTCAACTTGCAGGTATTCATTAACTTTAAAACCAAAACCTACGATTCTTTCTGTATGTTTAAGTCTTTATATGTATATGTTTTGGTTTTGGTTTTGGTTTTGGTTTTGGGTTGGTTTCACAGGTGGGAGAAGGGGGTTTGTGCTGTTGGGTCCAGCTCTTTTGGGACTGATGTGTTCAACCTCACTTACCTAGAGGTGGGTTTCTTTTTCTTTTTTAATTTAATCATTTCAGTTAATTTGCACCCTCCTTTTTGTTGTTGACATGGTTTTAGATTTTGGTTTTTAGGGGAATAGTTGGCTGTGGGATGTAAGTGGGGTGAAAATTTTGGTTGATCCAATTCTGGTTGGTAATTTGGACTTCAGCATTCCATTGCTCTATGATGCTGCCAAGAAATTCATAAAGAATTTCAAGGTTTCTTTTTGTATCCATGTGTGTGTGTGTGTATATATATATATATATCAATAATTTGCATTGTTGTTTAATTAGTGTGTTTGTTGTAATTGGGCTGTAACTTCCTTTGTGCAGCTTTCTGATCTTCCTTAACTTGATTGCTTACTGATTACACAAAGCCTTGATGATCACTGCCATTTAAGGACCTTAAAACCGCTCTCGGAAATGTCCCCGAATCTTAGAGTCGTTGCAACTCCAAATGCCAAGCCTTTGCTGGATCCTCTTTTCAGAAATGTGAGTTGAATCGTTTAATTTAGTTTTCAGAGGTTCTACTAGGCATCTGTTACTGTTTGTGGTTCACTCTCCACTGCATTTTTGTGGTTTGATTCATTGAATATATCATCATAAATTGATGCTAGTGTTAAATGTAAACAATTCAGGATAACTTGTTATTTTATTAAGCTATTTAGTTGTAGAGCATATGGTCTTAAACTAATTTTCAACTGCATATCCATGCATATGGCTTTACTTCCGTTCACTGTTGCTTGAATCTTTCAGGTCACATATCTAGAACCTGGTCAGGAGTCTGAAGTCGAATCAAGCAATGGTTCCAAAGTAAGAATTCAAGCTACTCCTGGGCCAGTTCTCGGTCCTCCATGGCAACGACCTGAGAATGGGTAAAAATCTTGGCTTCAACTTGTGAATGTGACTTTAAGTATAATGCTAGCACTCTCCATTACTAATCATTGGTACCGTATGGTGTGCCATATTATTTTCTTATGACTGAACTTACATGTAAGGTTTTTGCCACAACGGTCTTGGAATTATGTGTTTCAGGTATCTAGTCATTTCTCCACAGGGCCAATTAACTCTTTATTACGAACCTTATTGCATATACAACAAAGATTTTCTCGAGAAGGAGCGTGCCGACATCGTTATCACCCTAGTCATCAAGCTGCTTCTTCCGAATTTTACTTTGGTTTATGGACAAGAAGATGCAGTGCAGTTAGCTAAACTGCTGGATGCCAAGTACATTAGCTGAACTATTCCTTGAAGTTAAAGCTGATCAACAAAATTTTACGATTCTCTTGCTCCTTTCTTTCTGTAGGTACATTGTGCCAATGAAGAACGGAGATCTAGATAGCAAAGGGTTTCTTGCTAGCATCGTTCGGTCCGAAGGAACAATTGAATCGTTCAAGGTCAGATTCCTTTCTCCTTGAAAAATAAATGAACCTAGGCCTCCCTTATGGTGTAAACATCCACCTCGAATTGATTATAGCCTCATAAACGCTGAAAACCGTGTGGAAATCGATCTCTAAATCTGGACCGAGTCTGATCTGGTGGTGTTCATCTGCATGACTCAGTTGAACCGATCTGTCATTTTTCTCGGTTAAATATCGGTTATCGCTTGAACAATACGTATTCAAGTGCATGAATGATGTATTTTTCCTTTTGAAATACATGAGCTTTTGTCGAAGGAGCTACCGGAGCCCACCCCTGGTGAACCATTGCAAATTCCTCCGCCTTAAAATCTCCTCTAGTGCGTCACAATTTGATCCGTGTATATAACAGTGCATGTATTAGTATCCTGCATGAACTCCCCTAGCCACTGGGCATGTTCATCTATCATTTACTATATATAATCTACCATTGTTAAAAACAAATTATAAAATTTATAAATAGAAAATATAAAACAATATAATCACAAAAAAGCCACTAGGTAATTTTAAAAGGATTAATCTTGATCTGTAAACAAATTATTTTTTAGACAATGGTAAATCATAATTTTTAAAAGGTCGAAATATAATTTCATCGTTATTTTAGTTTAAATACAGGAGTATATAATTTTCTCAATAGGACTAAACTGAAATCTATCAATTTTGAGAGAGCCAAAAGAATTTTTTTTCATTTCTTTATCTTTAAAATCTAGGGTAAATTATGCGTTTAGTACTTAAACTATCAGTTTTGATCCATTTTAATATCTATTTTTTTTAAAAAATAAAATAAAAAACATACATAAAGTTTAGTTTCCGTCCATTAACATTAAGTTTTGCATAAATTAAAAGTTTAGGTACTAAAATATTTTAAAATTGACACTTTAGGTATTAAACACTTAAGATTTTAACTATGGGTATTAAAATGAAATAAAGATTGAACATTAGGTATGATTTTAAAAAATTAAAAGTTTAGGTATTAAAATGGGTCAAAATTGATAGTTTATGTACTATATTTATAGTTTATCCTAAAATCTAAAACCCTAAAAAGAAAATTGCCATATAAGGGCACGCCGTACCAGCCTCCTATCGCCGACCTTACCCATGTATATAGTTTGTTAAAATTATTTTTTAAATAATAATTGGAATTTCGTTTTATGAGTTGCAACATTTTAAATTAAATAATTTCCTAATTAAACAAACAAAAAGGGGAATATGGATAATTATTGACATAATTTAATTTTATTTCTTCAACGTTAAGAAGACACGTTTATTTGTATCATTGAAATGAGTGGTGTATTCATTTTTTTTTTAATTAATCACTAGTATTCGATCTATTGATCGACTAATCCAGATCGGATACTACAGAGGCAAGAGTGACCCTCCCAACTCAGTTTGTTCTATTTGCAAACACCAAGATTTGAACCTCCTGACCTTGCTTAAGGGACTTAGTGTCTCATCCCACTAAATCAATTAATTGGTGGTGGAATATTCCGTTTTCATACCAAGCAAATGTTGACCTAACTGATCACCATTCCTTAAACAACCCTCTTTCTGGAACTAATCAGTTTGGTCAGTCGAATATTCCTTAAATGAATGGGCCTGTTGTTTTATACTACTATCAAACGATAAACCAAGAAATGACTTTTATGCTATGTTGTGTAGTATTCTTCTTGCCTTATTATTTTATTACATTTCTTTTAATAAATAGGTGAAGGGGCATTTGGCCTTACCTTCACTCGAGGGTCGTGGTCTTCCCCTCCTAAACAAGTCGAGTAAAGCTCGAGTATCGCTGAACTCGACTCGAGCTCGAAATTTTAAAATTAGATTCGATTCGACTCGAAAACTCGTAAACTAAAAATTATTAAACTCAGCTTGAACTCAAAATATAATATTAAAATTTGACTCGAACTCGAAAAGGCTCGAACTCAAAAAAAAATTCAAGAGCTCGTTTGAAGCTCGATTTTGAGCTCGATTCAAGTTCGAACTAAAACTCGAATTTGAACCTACAAAAATCTTATATTACATTTAAAAATATATTTTTAAAAATTTATAATTATCAATAATTTATTTTTAATATATTCTTAATAATGTAATTTTTAAAAAATCTAAAATTATATAATATAACATTTTTTAGTAGCTCAAGATCTTTTCGAGTCGAGTATTAAGTAGCTCGTTTTAGCTCGTTAAGAATTCGAGTCGAGTTCATTCGATTCGAGTGTTGATCGAACTTTGAACGAATCAATCTCGAGTAGCTCGTGATCTGTCTCGTCTCATTTACAGCCCTAGTCACGAGCAAAACGACACCACAATGGACTTTGTAAAATCAAGCAAATAATCCCCAACTTAATGGGTCCAAATTTTATTTGGCCTGATTTAAAAAAAAATCTGTATTACGATCTAATTAATAAAAATAAATATAATATAATTTCATTAAATTATAATTATTTTATTTGGCTTGATTGGAGTTGAATTGAAGGAGCCACATGCACCGAATATACCTATCAATAATGATTTAAAATTAAATAAAAAAATGTGAAATGGATATGGGGAATCTTGGACGATGTTTGATTTCTTAGGAAAAACAAGGGGTTAATTAATTGAATGGCCATTATGTCTACGAGGGTGAGATAAGATAAACAAATAGAGAATATACTTTGGACAACTGCATGATAACATTTCCGATGGAAAGTGGGATCCAATAACAGGGAGCCTTTAATGTCATATTGGGTAAATTACAAATTTCATAACTAAAATTTATTCTCTTATATTTTGCTCGCTGAACTTTAAATTTTTTTTTAATTTACTTACTGAATTCTATACATTATATTTTTTGTCACTTTGCCGTTAAATATTTAATAGTGTTAAAACAATACCGTTTCAAAAAAAATAAAATTTTCACCAAAACCACGTCGTTTGATATCTTT